TGGACCGTTGGCGCCAGAGATCGGCAGATTCTGCGGAAACACTCAACCGTACAACATCACCAGCACGTCTAATCAGTTGTGGATCGAGTACACGGCGGTGGATGATCCGAACGACTTCGAGTTCGTGCTGGAGCCAGCGAACAACGGATGCGGAGGCGCGATTCACGGCAGCAGCCGCGAACTCTCCTCGCCCAAGTACGTGATTGCACGCGCAATAACAACGCGGATTGATTGAAGAAGTATTTAATCGAGCTCATTTACCGGTAATTTTGCTACACGTGTCCACCAGATTCCCGGCGCAGTATCCGAACAACGCGGAATGCATCTGGGAAATAACGGCAGACAACGGTTACCACATCGGCCTGGTATTCGTTGATCGTTTCAATTTGGAGGGCAGCTCTAACTGCAAGAAGGATTACGTACAGGTGCGTGGGAAATTTGCATGGTAATGAAGTCCGCGCGATAGGTTTTCGTTGCACCGTGGCGATGAACTCGCCCCTCCGGTGTTAACATGGAAATTAACGGCAGCGTGTGTGTTTGATTTTGTTATTATTGCTGTCCTGGCGAGAAACGGAACAGTTAATGGACGCGAAACTGATAAACGTACAGCGAACAATATTTCGACACCTTTCGACAATTACATTTATTCATTGAGAACGTATGTTCTTGAAAGCGATATGTGAAAGATAAATACGTATAAGTATAATTTTTAATACATAACGAAGATTAATTTAGTATTGTGACGCATCTCTTCGATGATAAAATTTTTATTAATTTATTAGATTATCTCGGACTGGTGTACAATTCCAAGAAGCTGTAAAAAATAATTTTAGATTAAATTCTCTTTGTTTTTAGTAACTTTTAGTGTCTCAATTTCATATGATATATCTAAATTTTCTTGAAAGTTATTGTTACTACTAACGTTACTGCTACTAATTTTGAGAAGCCATTTTTAATAATATTTCTAGCGACTCAGAAACACGAAATCACATTTGGAAGAAATATAATATTAAATATATTTGTTTATATTTAATTTCTTAATTTTTATTTATCAAGTTCTCCTATGCTTTTTTGCGAATTTACACTTTTTTACGAATTTACATTTATAATACGAATATAATCTGCCATAGCGTTAATCACTATGAGGTTTCATAGTACAAAATGACGAATATATTGAAGAGATTTTTTTCTTCTAACACAGATATTCGACTGGGTGAGAGAAACAAACGGATTATCCGAAATGTGGAAGGATCTTGGAAAGGTGTGCGGCAGAGACAGACCGGTGACATTCAATTCGACCAGCAATCGCATGAAAGTGATGTTCCGTTCGGACGAGGCGATACAGGGTGACGGATTCCGCGCCATTTGGCACGAGAACTGCGGTGGAATTTTCGAGGTCACCTCTCACCGAAATATCATCACGTCGCCGTCGTATCCGAATTTCTACCCGTCGAACTTTTTCTGCAATTACACGCTGGTGGCGCCAGGCAAGGACATCATAATCAAGTTCAAGGAATTCCAGATCGAGCACAGTAAGTGTCGAAGGATTGAAGCTGGATGCAGACAAGCGATAAACCTAATCAAAGTCTGCATCAAACCTTTAGCCAGAATTTCGTTTATTTGTAAATAAACTGCGAGCGATTATGTATATCTGGGTAACACTCCGAATGTATATTTCATTATATACGAAATGTGACAATTAATTTAAGAGTGGTAACCTTTTCAACATTATTCGATTTTTATTTCTATTCAGATTCTGAAACAAAACACTTGTAAGTTACGTATAAGGAAAGAAATGTTAAAATCTGGATAATTAATTGTTGCAAATAACTCACATGTATTGATGAAATACAGTAATGGAGCAATAAGTATAGAAAATAAAACTATCAATATCCAGATATATGAATATTGAGGCGATAGCGACATTTGCTTCAAACTGCTCGTCTACACGGGGCTTAAATTATTATTTAACATTGCGAAACGCGACAAATATGACTATCAAGACTAATCGTTGGATATTTCCGTTAATCGAAGATCACAAGGAATGCCGTTACGATAACTTGACGATCAAACACAGCGATGGATATTCGACAGAGGAGAACATTTGGTGTGGAGAGAACAAACCACCTATGATAAAGTCCTCGGAAAGTGCAGAGATCATCTTTAGAACCGATCAATTTATTGAACGAAGTGGTTTCGTATTCGAATACTATGTCAATGGTACGTATTATAAACGATGTCATCAACGAATTATGCATATTAGAAATAACATCGTCGAAGAATTAACTTTCGATAAAATTTCGACATCGTCTCCTTTCGTCTCGAAAGATTGCGGCGGAACGATAACACAGCCTGGAAAAATTGAAAGCTTATTGATCGGTGGCTCGTACTTCGGAAAAATGCAGTGCTCTTGGAAAATCCACGCACCTGCGGACAAGAGTGTCGTTCTTCGTTTCGAAAGTTTCGAGCTCGAGTACAGTTACAGGTAGGTAACTTTGATATTCCACGATGCACATCATAAACGCGATATAACAAAACTAGATAGATAATATTCCGTATATATAAACTACCGAATTTTGCAGATGCCTGTTCGATTCCGTGAGAATCTACGAAGGTTTGGATGCAGTGGAAACGAACAGACTGGCCATGCTCTGTGGAAACTTGACGAAACATTTGCCAATCTTTAAGTCTAACTCCAGTTCGATGCTGGTTACGTTCATCACCGATGACAGCCGCCATTACTCTGGTTTCTCCGCAAAAGTAAATGCCACGCAGTCTAGACATCTTTTCTAAGTTAGAACGTTCCAGCTTTCTAATTATTTTACAATTCATTTTCCTCGTGATGTCTCAGGTGCTGTTCGCGAAAAACGCCGCGGCAGGTTGCGGCGGTGCAATTCATTTATTCACACCTCAAAGACAAACGTTCAGGACTCAAAAAGACGCGACGTATGACAGCTTAGAAGATTGTCACTGGAACGTGAGAGCATCCGAGGGAAAGAATATCGTATTCATTATCAGTAGCATGGACATTCGAAACGCTACCAATAAAAATATCACCGGCGACAACGAATGCACGGGCGATTTTCTCGAGGTGAAATTTCGCCTCCTATTAATTTTTGCATGAG